CTCGCTGCGGCCGGGAATGCACAAATCCCTCACGCCGGGACTCTGCGTCTCCGTGTGGTTCAGAGCAGCTTTTCCTTCACAAATCCCGGTATGCGGCCGGTTTTTTGCAAGAATCCTCTTCCAAGGAATTGCAAAAGGCAACAAGGAGGCCGGGCACCGTGTAAGCTTAAAAGTCCGTCTGCAAACGGGTCCCCAGGTTGTCCCTAGCGTCCCGTCCTGTGGATAGAGCATTGGTAGGAGCCGGGAGCTTCAGCTCAAATATTCCCATATTGGGAATTGCGGGAAGGCTCTCGGCCGGCTGCGGGTGGTGCTCCCTTCCCGCGGGACGCGGTGTCCATGGGAAGGGGAAGTGCAGGACGAGGAAGCAGCCACGGGAACGCGAGCAAAGGGGGAAAGCGGGAAGGAGCCTGTGTCCGCTAGGCCATGGAAGGAGCTTTTCCATCCTCTGCTCACTCCGGAGCGCTCTGCTGAATCCCCAGGACAATTTTCTGGAGCGTTTTCCTTTCTATAGGCAGGCTTTCAGTTGTCCAAAAAGCGAAGAATGTGAAATGGTGAAAATTCAATGTGTTTTCAGGGCTTTGAGCTCTGGAAGGAGCGTTAATGGTAGAGCTGTACGTCTGGCCTGCTATTCCCCTGGATTTGGAAGGGGATTTTTCTGGCTTCGACCTTGGCAAGTTGTCGCTTCTGTTTCTGAATGCATCAAAGCTAAAGCAGTTGTGCTATGGCTGCAACTGTCGTGTTTTAATTTTAAATGTAGACATTGCGTTTGTGAAAAACATAATAAGAATTTAGAAATTACTTTCCAAGCAATTTCTAAATTCCAAATTTAGGGTCCAATACCCTAGAATTAAATATGATCAAGAATAGCACGCAGAAAGTTATAATTAAAAAAATGTAAAATATTAAGTGACTGTCGCTCTGACAGCCTTGTGTTTCCCAAACGAGCTTAAATTAAAACGCAGTGAGGTTCATTCTGTCTTGCCCTTGGTTATTTTCTTTCCTGCTTTGTACCTGCTGTGTTAAAACAGGCAAAGTGGGACCCAAGGCTTAAGTTATTCTTGGAAGCAATGTCTTTGGAATGTGGTTTCACAGAGCAAAGGGCCGAGACCCTTAGTGGAAGGATAATGAAGGATAATGAAGGATAATGAAATGGGGTCTGTTCTGTGCGCGGTGTCGGCCTTGGGATGTGCCAGGACGTGGAAGGGAAGGGCTTGGCTCGTGGCTTGCTGCTGAGATTCCTGTTCCATGGGATTCTCCCTCCTGCCCTGCCCATCGCTCTGGAGCGACACAAGGATCAAAGGGAGGGAATTGAGGAAGGCTGCCGAGCGCCGGCTCCGAGCTGGCCCAGTTGGCTGTACAACCTGCCCGAGGTGACCAGGTGGCCAAAGGGCCCTTCCAGCCTTCCCCACGAGCAGTTCTGCGGGAACAGCGGGATTCCAGCCCGGTAAAGTGCGTCGCATCCTGCCGGGGCTCCTGCATCCGAGGGGAAGCTCCGGGCAGCCCGTGCTCCGTGCGGCTCCGGGATGGAGCCGGCCCTCGCTTCCCAGCGCATGGCAAGTCTCAGGAAACAAATGTCACCCTGCGGACACGCCG